CCCGGCCCCCGCCCCGCCCTAAAGCCGCCTCGCCCCTCCCCCCGCAGTTCACGTGCCAGTAAACACAACAATTGTCGTTATTATTACTGCGGCTCGGAGCTTTGTGCATGAATTTCAGGCCGTCGACTAATAATTATTAGACCGCGCGCTGCTTATCGATTTAACTTTGTCTTGGTATTTATTTTGTGCTTCGGCTTTTGTACTTCGCCTGTCAATTTACTTTTTAATACACAATTTGGTTAAAATCTTTTAATGAATTATTAAAATACTGATACAATTTTACAAAGCTATCTTCTCATTAACAACATTTGAGTCGTATTTATTAAGGTGTACCAACAAGGTAGTAATTTAAAAATGTAATTTAATTAAAAAAAAATACTGTATAATTCTAAATTGTGTTTGACTATGATATGAACGTTAAATAAAATTATTTCTAGGCGTACATTTCACAAAAAGACGATACGGTACGGTTTAATAAAAACATGTACGTATCGTAACAAAACAGCAAAGCAAAGGGGAAAGTGTTTAGAGAGGTGCGCGGGTAACGCGATCCTATAATCCCTCGAAGCTGAATAAAGGACTCGTCGCTATTGAAAAAAAATCTCATAAAACGAATTGTGACACACCGCGTCTGCGTTCAGGTGGAGACGCGGACGTCTTCAAATAAAACGTGCGTAAAAAATATATTCCGCGGACGAGATGGCCCGAGAGCGGCCTCGGGACACCCTCGTGTGTGTCGCCTACCAAAACAATTTACCCCTCAGGCGTCGCGGAAAAAGCTACGCGCGCGAGCGAGACGGGATCGAGAGCAAGCGGGACGGAGTGATACCTGAACCAATCATCGAGTGGTTCAGTTTGGGCGGAGCCGCCCAAAGCTAACATGTCAGGGCGTGGCATTAGATCCTATTATTGTCTGGCAAGGCAAATAATATTTTGCACAATGTACACATTGGGGTAGCGATGGGGTGTCCGGGGGCGCGGGGGACACCGGGGGAGGGGGAGGGGAGGCTGCTAATTTATTCCCAACTTCGGTTACTGGTTGTTTTTCAGGCTGGGCTGTTATTTAAATTGGACGCTGCGAGTTATTTGTATGTAGCCGCTGCGCTGGTATTGTCGGCCGTAATGAAGGAATTTCTGTTCGGTTTGTTTGTTTCTACGAAAATTTTCCGAGCCGATTGTTGGCGGCTCTAGTCGTACAGTTTTTTTTGTTACTTTTTCACTTTCTTACTTTACTATATAGCGAATATATATTTATTTTAGCTCGCGCACATTAATTTTATTGCATTTATTTTAATACTTTAGTGTTAATTTTACTAAATGTACATAGATTCTATGGATAGTTAAATGGAATGAAATCTGTTTTTCTGTAACTCTAAAAAGATCTAACTTAAAAATTTACTTTTCTAGTAACATTTTACATTCTTTAAGAAACACGGTTTTATTTATTCTTTCATTCATCAATTCAACTCATATACAAAGGCTTACTGTAAGTTTACAAAGGACCTGCAGTCGGATTGCAATAATAAAGTCATTGAACTTTAGTAGAGTCAAATTACCATCATCGTCGGCTAGAAGACATCGCTGCAACAAACAAGATGATTACCGCTCTGTATACATTTAAATAGAGTAATTAGTAACAAAGCTGGTATGTGGGACAATGGAGCTGGCTGGGAGACGTACAATGGGCGCTGGGGCGATAAGGACTTAGTGCTTAAAGTTACCACAGACCCGAGATGTCTACGACGCTACGAGCTACGAAACAACGAGTTTATGCTCATGTTATTTAATGAAATTAAGTTTATTTTTTTAAGTTTAATTGTGATCGTTTTCTTTTGTTTTTACATACACAGTTAAGTTAGCAAGAGTCAAAGTAATTTTTAAAAAACGTTTAAAAAATAAAATCTAAGTAATATTATAAATGCGAATATTTAGATGGATGGATGGATGCATCTCCAGAACCGCTGAACGGATTTCGGTGAAATTTAGCATATACATATATAGAACAGTGTCTGGAAAAACATAAAGGCTACTAATTATGTTTTTTTTAATTCCGCGCGCATTATGTCGCTGGCGACCGCTATTTTATAATAGTTCTGCAATCAATTACAGTAAGTTTGTGGAAAATTTGTATATTTTTAGGGTTTCGTAACACATAGGAAAAAAACGGAACCCTTATAGGATCACTTTGTTGTCCGTCCGTTCGTCTGTCAAGACCCTTTTTCCCAAAAACGCGTGAAGGTATCAAGCTGGAATTTTTTTTATATGTCTTGTAGTAATCGTAACATTTTACTACCGAAATGTACCTTATTCATAAACATTGAGGTAAAAAGTATGTGATTTGCTGAAAAATTGCAATATTGACAATTCACACACGAAAAAAAAACAAAAAATAAGTCGTTATGAATCGCTACTATCAGTAATAACAAAGTCTAATCCAATGTTAGCTTAGCTTACTAGCAACAGCTTGTTACAAGCAAGGCGCAGTGGTACTAGGAGAATATAAATATCAGGAGGTAAGCCTCTTAGCAGCTCGTCTTAGCTCACAGTCGCTAACTCCGCGCGCAAACATTTCCATTTCAAAGATAAGTACGCGGACTGCGACGGATTATCCTCCATCGAGTTGCCAGCGTTTAACGTAGTTATAGAACCTCCTTGGTTATTGTAAAGAAATAAATCATAAGAGCTATTGCGTAGACATGGTTTAATACTTTTCTGAATTATGCGAATTGAGCAACCAACGTATGTATTGAGAATTAAATTACGTCTATTAAATTTAAATAGTAAATTATACCTATACGTAGCTATAAGAAAATATATAGCCCGTAAGAGAAAAGCGTTTCTTTCTAGGTATTTTTAGATAGGAAAAGAATTTTAGGGAAAATCTCATCAATTATGTGTAGTTTGGCTATCGGAAGTACGACGAATGAATTTAATTCAAGTATATTCATGCTCTTACGTTCATTATTATTATGTTTTTTTCTATAAAATCGATGTCAACATGTTTTTTTTTAATGGATATAAAAAATATTTACACTTGGTGTATAGACTTGAAATATGGTTGGTTACAGCTAGTGATATTATAAACGTAAATTAAAGCAAAGACAAAGGAATCTTCTTACCTTTATCGATCTGATTCTTTAATTCAATTGCAGTTATCATCAAAACTTATACATGGGCACTCGGCACTCGACATCTTCAATGCGATAGTAGAATATCGTCGAGTATAAGTTTCGGAAAACACAAAGACCAAACAAATTAACACAAATAGAATTCTCATCGAGTTACAGTTATACTCTTGTAATCTTCTTAAAATCCTATATTTAGAAAGATATTTCTTGGCAAAATATAAGCTTTTTATAACACTTGTATTAATTTTATCAACATTATAAAATCTGATTAGTAACGTAGACTTAATTTGTACATGAGAAAAAAATTCTATCGGAATTATACGAAGAGACCTCATAAACAGGTATTTTTTAATTAAATTTTAATAACATAATTTTATAAGTGAGGGGTAAAAAAGCAATTACGCTTTAGTCCCAATCTCTAAAACAAGCAAAAATTTGTTACGCCTAGTTTAAAAAATTACGATGCATTTTGCATTTTTCTTTTATACATACTTATGTTACAAACAGACTGAAATAAGAAAAAGCATTGCGACGGTAGCAAATCAAAATAAATTAAAGCAAGGTACACCTATGCTGGTTTAGAGCCATCTAATGTAGAGTAGATTACTCAAAGAAAAGTTGTTTTATCCACGATTCTTGGTGATTTGCGCGCCATCTATGAACGAGAACAGTACATGGTGTTGATTAAACTTGGTTCAAAATTTCGATCCAGATGGCGCCCTAACTCAATGGAATTGCTTTCTGCATAAAACGATAGATGGCATAGCTAAGATATTTTATATTCAGAAATTTTAAAAGAGTTTTTCAAACGATATTAACGATTGGATGCCTTTATAATTTAAGTACAAATTTGTATATTACACCAAATAAGTAGTAAGTGTATCAAAATAAATATCAACTTTGATTTTAAATTATTCTGTTTTAGAAATATTTTAAGAAAATATAACAACATTGTTACGACGTCTAATCTTTGCTTCAACCAAAAAAAAAACTATTATAACAAAGTAATTTAATATCTTTATAAATCAGCTAAACTGATTAAAATTCCCAAAAACAAACCAACTGGTGTTGCCTGTCACATTTAATTGATTCTCTTTCAAAGAAACAGGTAACTTGGTGATTTATAAAAGAAAAGTTTCATCCACATAAAAAAACTACATTTTATGTCAAAAGAGATTTAAAAAAATATCCACAGGTGTCATTTCTATAGCTACCGATTACAGTTGAGGCGGCATTCCTTTGCCTCTTACTAGTTAAAAAAAACTCTACTGTCGTGTCAAACCTTCACGGTGGATATTCAATGGGTGCGCGGGAACAACTCATGCGTTATTGTGTTCACGTTTCAAAATTAAACTAAGCTATTTAGTTTGGGGAACTAATATTTTTATGGTTTCCTTCTCAGTTACGAGTTAATTTAATATCCTACATTCTTATGGTCGTTTCGGTCACACACACAATCACCAAAGATTAAATTGATTATATTATTTAACTTTTTAAAATCTAACCCTAATATCTAACTTTTTAATATCTAACTCCGTCTGCGCAATTTAAAAAAACATAAATAAGTAGCCTATGTGTTCTTATAGAATGTTCTATATGCATACCAAATAAAATCGAGATCCGTTCAGCCGTTCAGCAGACACATTCAAACAAACATCCATCCATCTAAATATTGTAGATAATATTAGTAAGAAGTAAGATATAAGTAAGATATTTTGTGATTGTAAGACAAAGGTTGTACGGTAAGTTGTTTTCGGGGATTTAAAAACCTAACCAAATGGAACGCAATACTTTGGCTAAGGACGTTAGTGTGTGTAAAAATATATGTGCAAAAGCTCTTACTGATCGGCTCGACACTCTAGCGCGCGGAGGGACGTTAGTTCCCTCTGCATTTTCTACCGTATATACCACGGGGAGTGCTCTGAAGAATTGTTTGGAACGATTCCTGCCGCCAAGTTCCGTCATCGGACGACACGACAGACCGCCAGGTTCCATCCACACCACCTGGATGGCTGGCATTCCACAACGGTGCGATTCTCGCGCAACTTCTTGCCTCGCACAGCCGCGTTGTGGAACGGTCTGTCCTCAGCGGTATTTCCAAACCAATACGACTTAGGGTCCTTCAAGAAGCGAGCCTATCACCACCTCAAAGGCCGGCAACGCATCTGCGGTTCCTCTGGTATTGCTGATGTCCATAGGCGTCGTCGAACACCTCGGTGTTCTCGCTGCTCGTTTGCCCCCTTCTGTCATAAAAAAAAGAAAGTTGATTCATTATACTATATAATTTATGACGTATTAATCTAATGGGTAATTATAAGTCGTAACATTTCGTAATGTGCATAAGAAATTACGTAATGAATTATCAATTAAAATTATTATCAGCAATCTATTAGTGAAAATTTGTTACCTAAGCACTGACTCAGGAATTGCAGACATAATAAAATAAACTTGACATTGAAGATGTCACCTGTTTCATTACTATGAATTAAAAATAGCTGTTATACAATTATGCATTGTTATAATACTTAACCTTAATATCAATAAACTAATACAATCATATAACATTTTATTATTTACTAGCTGTCGCCCGCGACTCCGTCACATCACATCCATCTAAACATTCGCATTTATAATATTAGTAAGTTAAATAAAAGCAGCTTTTCAAGGCATAAATTCGAAAAAAATAAATAAATAGTATGCTATGTCCGTCTCCTGGCTCTAAGCTACCTCCTCACCAATTTTCAGCCATATCGGTAAAGCCGTTCTTGAGTTATAAATAGTGTAACTAACACGACTTTCTTTTATATATATAGATTATTAAAGTATCTACAACTCAGGTTTTCTGATTGAAATGTTAAGATGTTACTTTTCAAATTCACGAATAATGCTACAACAGCTGTATCTTTTTAATCACTTGATGTAAAAAATAATAAATACAAAGTGACATTTTTTTTTACTATTAAACGTATAGGGATCAAACCCCGACAATCGCTTTGTTATAGCATTGAAAGACGTAACCATAATCAGGTCTACACACGCCAAAAAATATAGTTTTACATATCATAACACACTGTAATTATACATTAGATTTTCCTACGATTATAATTAAAATACTATTGCAGATTCCCCGGTGAAAGCAATTTAAACAGAATTATCCAAACCTTTGCCTTAAAAGTAAATGCATTTTTTTAATTAACAATATTAATATACTAATGAATATTTGATAAAAATACTTTATTTCATTGATTGTTTGATCCGTTATTTTTATTAAGGTTTGTTTCGCAACGCGCGTATAATTTATTGATAACTCGAGCGTACTTCGTAAACACGGTGTGCGTTTATTTTCCCGGCAACAGTCGGCGCGCGCATGCGCTACGTGTTTGACGTGTCTTATGTTGTCAGTTGACAGTTCATTTCATTCGCGTTTACATGTTTGACGTTTAGAAAGAGTAGTTTTCTGGATTTTTATTTTAATTCGAGTGTTTTATAATGGAAAGAAATTCTCGCAATCATTCGTCGACAATGGACCGTGACTCGAGAATGATTATACGAAAAATTCTGTTGGATTTCCTTATTTTGTTTTGCAGTAAGTTTAAAAATTTGCATATTTTTTATCGCATTATATCAAAATATTCTTACTTCAGTTAAAGTTTTTTGTTGTAATTACACAATTGTGACCTTGAACTGTTTTCGCTTCCCCTATTAATATTTTTAGTGGTATCTAGTTAGGATGTAGTCGTGCAATATATTTTAAAAACTAGGACGTCAGTTGCAATGTGATAAGAAGCATTATTTAACTTTTTGCCGCATATAATTATTCTAGATATTTGCACTGAATTCAGTTATCTTTTGATTAAAAATATATGTCACAGAATTAAAGTTTTCATAGAACTAATACTTATACAATCAGCGCAAGATTTTTTATATTAAAACTATTTTAATCCTATCTTTTAAAAAATACTGGCAAAATATATTTTTAAACACTAATAATATTTTGCTTTTTATTTTGTTACTACAACAAACTTAAGTTATAAAAACTTTTTACTGGAGAGCAGTTTACTGTTGTATTTAATAATATTTCTTATTCCATTAATTTTACTAAGGTAATCCTACCTGTATGTTAAAACCTATTTATTCTTAATTATGAAACATATATAAGTAATATATATTAATCCCACACTCAACAGTAATTGATTTTTTATCTTCTAATTTAAACCGACAAACTTTCAACCTTTGTATAAAGTTATAGGAATTATACAACCATGAATATCATAGTTTAATATATTTGCCATTTTAATATCAATATAGTAGATAAGGAGCATTAAATGAACAGAATAAAGGACCCTTGTGTACCCAGTTCCTAGAATCTGCAGTAAAACACTGCACTTATGTGTTTGTACAAAAAAAATCCTTGACTGTCAGTCGAGTACATACAATAAATTGTCTGTCTGTAACAAATGTTTTGTTCATATTAATTATATGTAAATTAAGGTTTATGATGCTAAGATAATTAAATCTAGAGATTTTCTACTAAAGGGTTTTTCAGTGTTAGAATATAAATGGTCTTCTAAAGTATAACAGATTCATACAGAGTAAAATTTTTTGGAAGGATTTTGTGGCTTTTAATAAAGTGGTTACTCTTCCAATTTTTGGTTGGGTTGAATTGGTAATGTAAGATAAAACAATTTGATACTAAAATCTACCTCCTTATTATATTTTAGACCTTTCAATGTAAAAAAAAATCTATTTGGAATGAAAACTATTGGAAAGCTTTAATAAATATAAATTTAGTTTATTTTTTAATTTATCATAAAACTGCGTAATGTCCCCTATGAGAAACCAAGCCGAAAATATAGCTTTGAGGTACTATCGGGGAATCTGGCGATATTCTACATTGTAACAGACGACGCGGATAGGACGTAGTTTTGTATCTGTACGAACAATGGGTTACTGCTATATGGCTAATGCTTTTTACTAGAACGCCGTCGTTTGCACAACACACTGTACTAATTGCCTATTTTTAACAAAATAGGCATGTTTCTGTAAGTGGAACACCGCAAAGTGTCATGACTGTACTTCATAATGCTTTGGTATAAGTTTATTCATAGAAAATATTATAACGTCGATGTTAAGGGCGTTTTCAATTCACTTGTTGAATTTGTACTAGTAGATAAAGTGCTTTAATTAAATCTCTCCACTTTCAAATGTTGCCAAGAATGTAATCAAGAGGGATCGAATACTAATTACATGTTTCTATAAGCCGCATTAACTAAAATAATACTAATATTGTTTTTGCTACAAAAATAATTGCAATAAAACGGAATAAAAAGTATTTTTTATGATTAAAATTATTTACTTGTTCTATGTCACTTTTTGTTATAACGTGTTTGATGTTTCTATTTGTTTAACGTTAACGTTAATTTTGACACATTTTTCCTGTGACTTTGGATCGCTTTAATTATCTTTTGACGTTGGATATGGATATTTTGAGACCGACCTATTTTATTCACTGAACATCTTTCCGGCATAGTTGATTCAACACTGTTATATTTTTGTCATAGAAATTGTTCTTTTCTTTCTATAAAATCATCATTGTCATATTTTTCCCTATGGAGTGTCAGCACAGTATGTACACTTTCATAAATCTCGATTAGCCGTCATATCTTCCTCCTTACGCATATCCTCTTTCTCACAATCCATCCATACATGTATAAAATATTGACTTATAATAGTAACAGACCGTCTACATTATACCAGTTCCGGAGGAATGGGCGAACTGGCCTGAAAAGTAAAACTTCATCCCAATTATCGATCAGACTGGCTTACTGACTTTAGTGGGTGTCTTCATTAGGGCAGTTGTTAACACTGATTTCGAGCGCGGCTTACTGAGCTGGCATAATGAAAACGGGGCATAATAACAGTAATTACTTCAAAAAAAGTTGACTGTTAGACATCTGTAGCACAACTGTCGATCATTTTTAATTGCTTTATGATTGTCAATTTTTGGATTTATATCGTGCCAATAAAACTACTGTCGCTCTAGTTTTGTTCATGCCATCTGTTTGTCCGCTAATTCCTAAAAGCTTAGTGGTACTAATTGACAAAAACAACGTAAAGATATTGTCCCTATTTTATTTATAACTGACAAAAATAATGAGGGTTTCGTATTTGTAAAGTAATTTCGTCATATCTTACTTATTACTATCTTACTAATATTATAAATGCGAATGTTTGGATGGATGTTTGTTTGAAGGTATATCCAGAACGATAGGACGGATCTCGATGAAAGTTGGCTTAGATGTGGAATACAGTCTGGAAGAACACAAAGGCTACTTATTAAGTTTTTTCAATTCCGTGCGGACGGAGTCGCGGGCGACAACTAATTAATAATAAATGGCAGCGTAGAAAATTAAAAAGAAATCACTGTAACCTTTTCGTTAACCGTTATTTGTGACGTTACATTGCGGATATAGCAAATTAACAGTTTGGGTTCGCGCATTAACGCGTCGCTTCAATGCGCACCCGCAGTTCCCAGACGGACAGTGGGCGCATTCAGCGACCGTATTAAGTAGGAATAGTGTGACCAAACTTTAAGTGAGCAACACGGGATAAACGCAAAATGTGCAAAAAATTATCAAGAAAAAGTGCGTTAAACTTAGCAGTTGTTATAACTGACACTAATTAGAAACACATAATTACTTTTTATAGCTCTGTTGCGAGAAATAATAGCTTGTTTATTGCAAATAAATAGTGCATATTAATTCTTATCTATAAGTGCGTACACGCTATAATGTTGTTTGAATTAGTTGCCAGTCGACTCCGTCCGCATGGAATTAAAAAAAAACTAAGATGAAATGTTCTATTATCTTTATTGTGATAAATTGAAAAACTAAAATATTTAGGTACCCTAATTTGCATATGGGACTATACTAAAATAGCTCTGTTGTTTGGTGACCGTAATGTAATGACCCTGTCTGTCCCGATTCCCGATGCACTCGGAAACGTTCGATTGTGTATTTGTTAATGTCTGACATGCATTTGTCGGCGGTTCGAGTCGCCATTGCGTAGGAGTTGTTTGTTGATTGTGCTCAGTATATGGGAGCTGTTCGAGATGCCTTACTGTATTGAAATAAAAAAAATAATCCAGCTGTGTGACCTTGAAATAGTAACAAAGATCTATTGACTGACTTATTTTTAAATTTTGAAGTTGCCTTCGTTTGGTAATGAATCAGAATTAAATGAGGCTTGAAATATATATTTTTTTTAATTGTGGTAAATGACCTCATTTCCAGTATAAAATAACCAGTACTTTCTACATAAAGAAATTAAAGTTACAAAGAAAAGAATCCAGTTTTTTAATGTTTATCGCTCATAGTAATGTAAGTGGAACGCAATTCGTTGATGTTTCGTGACAGATAATGCTCAGTTAATTGCCAACATTACAACTCGTTAGTTATCTGTGGCAAGCCCAATCCCCCGCCGTGGGCTGTGCACAGGATGTGAACCACTGCCACAATCGGCCGCCAAACAATCTGGCAGGTAATTGCTGCGCTGTCAAAACATCCGACGCTATCCCGTGACCTGTCAGATTAACCGTATCCGTTAAAGAGGTCCTTTATATGTTATACTGGCTGCCAGCAAGTTGTGCCTGAAAAAAAAACTCGCTCTGTTATGGCGGCCGGTTTTACCGCCACTTTTTGACAGCTGTCAGAAAATTACTCGTACATTACTTTTTATTTAATTCAATGTAACCATTACCATATTTATCAGAGAAAGATGTATTGTTTTTATTTTATTAAAAGCAAATCTTACTCATATTATAAATGCGAATGTTTAGATGGATGGATGTTTATTTGAAGATATCTTGAGAACGGCTGTATGGACCTTGCTGAAATTTAGCATAGATATAGAAAATAGTCTAGAAGAACACATATGTTACTAATTACTTTTTTTTTAATAACGCACGGACGGAGTCGCGGGCTACAGCTATTTGCCTTCATATGCCTTTCAGCTTTTAATTTTTGTAATATACACTCGACAAAGCGCAACATCTTAAGTGGTGTATCGTCACTAAAACTCGTTATCTTTACGGTTAAAACATGCTTCGTCGACAATTACTGGCGGAATGTCTTTTGGTAGATTTGCCGCCACTAAAGAACCATAGATTATATTAAAAACAGATGTTACAGATCATCATATTTTAACACTTAAACATTTCGGATCTTAATTGGCGTCCATCTAAAAATAGGCTTACTCTTAAAAGAATATAATGATACTTGAGACTATTAGTACCTAAAACAATACTTAATTTTTTTAATGAAATCGTTTAACCTAACAAACTAAATTGTCTTTTAAAAAAATATGTCATAGTTCTTAAAAGTCTATAATTAATTTCACTTTACATTTACGAACGCACCGCTTAATGTCAAAGTTAATGTTATATCGTTAATTAATTAATAACAATTACTCTATGAACCTAAATGTAATTAATTAATTACATATCAGTCAGAATTGCGTGTGGCGGTCGTGTACATCACTTGCTGATTAATTGTACAAGTCGAGCTCGCGGTTGTGACGTCACAACTT